CTTGATAAGTTCTATGACCTAGCATAGTACTTGATAAGTTCTATGACTGAGTCTAGTACACTTGGTAAGTTCTATAGCCTTGTACTGTACTTGGAAGGTTCTAGGTAATGATGGTAGTTTATGTTTCTTTCAGGTTCTAGGCATACGGACTGATGTGTATTTGCACCTCTGGTTTGGGAAGCATGTGTAGCAAGCGCATCTGGCCAATGCAGGGGATGAGAACCTCGGGAGCATGATGGAACACGTCTGGGACAGAAGAAAGCCCCTCACCTGTGTCTTCGTTATCGTACTTATCCAGCTCATACTCAGCCAGCTCGTCGTCCTCCGCGCCCTCCTCTCCCTCTGGGACACCCTCCGACGGGGGCTCGGCTGCCTGCGCTGGAACGAGGGCTGGTGCCTGGTCCGTGCCATCCTCTGCAGCGTCTCCTTCATCACTGCTGTCTATTTCTCTGTGTAAAGAATTGGGAGTCAGCAGGGCAGCTAGGTGGAGCAGTGGATAGAGCACCGGCCCAGGAGGACCTGAGTTCAGATCTGGCCTCAGACACTTAATACTTCCTAGCTGTGACTCTGGGCAAGTCACTTAACCCCAATTGAATTGGGAGTCAGGTTATAGACACCTCTTTGCCCATTTTTTAATTCAACGAACACTTATTATACACAGAGTACCACACTGAGAAGATGCATGATTTCCACGGGCCACTTACATCTCCTGCCTTCGTGGGGCTCACAGTCCAGTAGGGATCAGGCATAAACACAGATAACTTTAATACACGAGATTACAGAACAGAGGGATGTGAGGTGCCCACGGGGAGGCTACGGAGGAATGGCACTCTGAGGGAGAGAGGCAGACCAGGCTGGAGTGGCCCGGGGGGCATAGGGGCACAGGGCTGGCACCTAAGGCCACGACCCGGAAGGCCGATGCATGTTCACGACCCTTGAAAGGCTCACCTTATTTTCTCCTTTGCTTCGGAAATGAGACGCTTGACCTCGTCCTCACTCAGTTCTACCTACAAAGACAATGAAAACTGCCCAGGTTACTCAGAGCATGGAGATAGTAACATTACAGGTTTTTTCAGTAAATCACAGCTCTAGGTCATTCCAAAGAACAATACAGTAAGTATCAATGGAAACTCTGTAATTGTGACCTTCTAAATCCCATCCTCATTTCCCCTCTCCTGAAAGTCCTCCTTTGGACACCCCTTTGGAAAGGCTGGGGTTCAAATCCTGCCTCGGCCTCCCTTGGGCTTCATCCTTCTCTCTTAAACGAGGAGGTTGAATCAGATAATCCCTTAAGGTGACTCAGTAGCAAGAGAATTGGAGGATCTGGGTTCAAATCCCACCCTGACCTTGGGCAAGTCACTGTCTTTCATGATGCCTCAGTTTCCTCATCTGTCAAATGGGAATAATACTGGCACTAGCTCCTTCAAAGAGCCACTGTGAGGAAATCACTTTGTGAACCTTACAGAGTTATATAAATATGACTTATTATTGTTATTCCTTTGTGATGTCTTTCCCCTCCACCATTTTCCAGCTGGATCATGCAATGGATAAAACGCCGGACCTAGAGTCAGGAAGACCTGGGTTTAAATCCAGCCTCAGACACAGACTAGCTGTGTGACCCTGGGCAAGTCACTTCACCCTGTTTGCCTCAGTTTCCTCATCTGTCAAATGAGCTGGGGAAGGAAATGGCAAACCACTCCAGTGTCTTCGCCAAGAAAACCCCAAATGGGGTCATGGAGAGTCAGACAAGACAAAGAATGACCAAACAACAATAACAAACCACTGAGGCAAAGCAGGAAAGGCCTCACGTAGGAGAGGTCACTGATGAGAGCTAGCACAATACCGATCTCAAAGTTTCCTCTTCCAGAAAGTGCAGAGAGCCCTGGATTTGGAGCCAGACAACCTAGGCTCTGGCCCTGGTCTAGGCCTTTCAGTGTCCTTCTGGGTGAATTACAGGTTGGACTAGACGGCCTGAGGCCTGGAACCCTCCCTAGTCCTCTGGGCCAGGACCTCCCTTCCCACTTTACCCAGGAAACTGAGGCTCCCTCCCATGAGCCCCTGCTACCCCCAATTCTCCATCTAAAAACCCTTCCACATCCTCCTCATTCCCTCCTCCCTCACTAGGGCATCAGTGAAAGAAGCCTCCTCCTGGGGGGGCAGTCCCTCTCCCACCCCCAGTCTAACCTCATCTCCCCCTCCCTAAGCCTTCACTCTGCATCGTCCCCTCTGTCTGTCTGCTCTCTGACTCTGTCCTCTGTCTCTCTCTCTCCTCTCTGTCTTTCTCTCTTCTTCTTTTTTCCCCCCAAGGCAATGGGGTTAAGTGACTTGCCCAGGGTCACACTGCTAGTAAATGTCAAGTGTCTGAGGGCAGATTTGAACTCAGGTTCTCCTGAATCCAGGGCCATGCTCTCACTGCACCACCTAGCTGCCCCCCTCTTCTCTTTCAAGACCAAACCCTCGGGGGAAGCTGTGACTCCACTCCCCCCACCCCCCCGCCCCCTCAGGCCCCACCACGAGACCGAGTTACCAACGGTCACTAATGGCCAGACCCGGGGCTTTTCCTCAGCGTCCATCCCTCTGGACGTCCAGCCCGTGGCCTGCCCCCTCCCTCTTGGGGGCTCTCGTCCCAGGGCTTTGTGACTCAGTTGGCCCAAGCCAGCCCCTCCGCTCGGGGTGCCCCGGGGCTCCGTTCCCTCTGGACCGGGGGTCTTCAGCTTTGTCGTGTGTCCAGTGCCACCGACCCGTACTTAGCATCCTGCCCCAGAGGCAGCACCGTGTTCAGAGGACCCGAGTTCGAATCGGGCAAACAGCGCGCACGCACCTCTGCTGTCCCCAAAGTCTGAGCGAGGTAGACCAGGCGCTGACTTCTGGGATACTTTGTATTTCTTTTAAATACAAAGTAACCCTGGAAGGGGCGGCGCCAACAAGTCGGGGGAGAATCCAGGAGGGCTTAGTGCAGGAGGCGGCGCTTGAGCTGAACTTCTAAGGGAGTTGGGGGTTCTAAAAGAGGCGGCTGAGGAGGGAGCGCATTCTGGGCATCCGGCACCGCCCAGGCAAAGGTTCGGAGGTGGGCAATGGAACTTCACGAAGGTTTTTCCAGCCCCACAATCCTCCCTCCCCGGCGATCCCCAAAGGGACGAGCAACCTCTGTTCACCTTGTCTGGAGTCTCCTTGGCGACGCCCCTGCGGACCCACGTCACGCATGTCACCTGCCGGCTGCGCCTCATGGATACGATTCTGGATCGCGGTGCCGCACGCAGGGAGGAGGGGGCCGGAGCAGGCGCTTCTTGGCGCGGATCTGATGATGTCACAGGCTCGTAGACCGAGATCCGCTGGGGGGCGGGGCACCGGGGTCACGGGGCGGCCGTCCCTCCAATAAGAGTTGCGGCCTTCCGGCCCCTCCCCCCACTGCGTCATCATCAGGCGCCATCCAGGGAGGGGCGGAGACGGAAGCAGCTGGAGCGGGGCACCACGTGGAGCCTGCGCAGGCGTGGGGAGGTGGAGCTGGGGCTCTCAGTCTCAGCTGGGAGGAGCCAAGGTCGGGGGGGGGGGGGCGGGGGGGAGATCTGAGTCCCGGAGAGATCATAGGGATTCTAAGTCTTAGAGCACGCGGGGACCTCAGGGCTCATCTTGTCCAACCCCTTCATTTTACAGAGGGAGAAACTGAGTCCCAGGGGGGTCATGGGGCTCTTAGGCTTAGAACTGAAAGGGGCCTCACGGCTCACGTCGTCCAAACCCTTCACTTTACAGAGAGGGAAACTGAGGCAGGAGGGGGCCATAGCCTTAGAGCAGAAAGGGACCTCAGGGGACATCTAGTCCCATCCCATCTTTTTACAGAGAGGGAAACTGATGTCATAGGGATCATAGGCTTAAAACTGGAAGAACCTCAAGGGGTCATCCAGTCCAACCCCGTCATTTTACAGAGAAGGAAACTCAGTCCCTGGGAGGGCATAGGAGCCCTAGCTTTGGAGCAGGAAGGGGCTTGAGCACCTTCCAGTGCAACCCCTGTCTTTGCGGAGGAGGAAACTGTGCCTCAGAGCCAAGCCCAGTGCCATCCCACATTGGCTTTGGGGTATCTGTGTACCCGAGGTCCAAGAGAAGCTGATCTGTGGGCAGTTGTGGATGGATCTAGATCATGAAGAGAACAAGAGGCCAGCTCCAAAGTCAGAAATGGGGCGTGACTGAGGTCAAGGGAGAGAAGAGTGGAAAGGCAGAGGCCAGAAGCTTGGGGAGACGCCCTCCAGAGAGAGGCTGAGTGTCCTGAAATGAGGTCCTTGAAAAACTTAAGCTTTGACAGGGGCAGAACCAGGCCTGTGTAAGTTTCTTTGTATAATGCCTAACACTGCTGAAATTGGACCCTTTGCATTTAATGATGGTCTGGGCAGAACTGTAACACCTCCCGGGCTCCTGCCTTCCCCGCAAGGTGATACACTGTGCCAGATTCCCCATCCTCCATCCCTCTTCCTACCAGACAGCTGTTGTCATGGCCATTAGGGTTTTATCTCCTTTGGGGAAATGATTCCATTTTTCCTGTGACTCCCATTCTTGCTTAGATCCACAGATAGGAGAAAACTAGACCTGACTCCATGGGCTATTTTGTATAACAGCTGAGTGGACAATGCATGGGACCAAGGGACTGATGACAGAGAGAGGCAGCATGGCCTAGTCACCAGACTGTTGGACTTGGTTGGAATTAGGAAGACCTGGGTTCAAATCTCTCCTCTGCCATTTTCTACCTGTGTGATCTGGGTAAGTCACTTCTCTTAAAAAAAAATGAGGGGGTTGGGTTTAGCTTCCAAGGGCCCTCCCCATACTAAAGAAGTCACAAGTCTGAACCCCTTGTTCAGTAGTGACCAACTCTTGGGAACCCCTTCTGGGGTTTTCTTGGCAAAGATATTGGAGTGGCTTGCCTTTTCCAGCTCCTTTTACGGATGGGGAACTGAGGCAAGCAGGATTAGAGTGACTTTCCCAGGGTCACAGAGCTAGGAAGTATCTGAGGCAAGATTTGAACTCACAAAGAGGAATCTTTCCGACTCTAGGTCTGACACTCTACCCACTGCACCACCTCATTGCCCAGAATGGCGTCAAAGCTTAGAAGTCATCAACACTAACTTCATTTTATAGATGAGGCCCTGAGAGTTGAAATGACTTCCCTGTCAAAAGTCCTGTGACTCTCAAATGTGACTTTCTTTCACGGGTCAGTTATGATGATGATGATGATGATGCTTTAGAACAAACAACTCGTTTTGTTAGGAAGAAGATTAAACAGGGTGGGTATGATCATTCACACCGTTATGCCAACCACCAGAGAAAAGGATGAGGCAATAGCAGTGACCTCAAAGGACTCTTTTGTGCCTGGACGATTGGGAGAGTTTGGAAACCACGAATGGGAGTTCATTGAACACAGAGGAGGAGCGCCACCTGCTGTCCCACGATGTGTATCGCAGCCCTAGATTGCTTCTGATGCCCTGGAAAGGGGAGAGGCACCTACTATGTGCTGGGCACTATGCTGAGCTCTAGGGATACAAAGAAAAACAAAAGACAATCCGGGTTCTCAAGGAGCTCCTGGTCTAATGTGTGTTAGCACAACAGCTAATGATTATGTCCAAACAAGATAAAGAGGGGATGCATTGAAGCATTGAGCATAGGGAGCTATGTTGAAATTCAAGGGGATGGGAAACCGGAAGGTGGGAATGGGGATGGAGAACATTCCAGGCTTGGGGAATAGCCATGAAAACGCCCAGAGCTGGGAGCTGGAGGGTCTTGTGGGAGGAACAGCCAGGAGCCCAGTGCCACTGGCTTATGGAGAATAGAGAAGGGATTAAAGGGTAAGAAGCCTGGAAAGGCAGGAGGGGGCAGGTCGTGTTGGGCTTTGAACGCCAAGCCAAGGATTTTGTGTTTGATCCTGGAGGTGATAGGGAGCCACAGCAGTTTACGGAATAGGAAGGTGATGTAATCTGACCTGTGCCTTAGGAAGTGAGCAGAGCCCTGGGTCAGAGCCGGGAAACACAGAGTTCTGAAGTGGAAATCCATGGTTTCATACTGAATCCTCTTTATGTTCTACTGTGCACATGGAAATGTCCTTTTTAGTTTTGTACTTCAGTTAAAAATGAGTAAAAATTTTTTTAAAAGATTAAAAAAAAAGGAACCTGGGGTTCTGGTATTGAGGCTATTCTCATCCCCTGGGGGAATTCACTCCCCAGTTCTCAATTACCTCCTGTTTAAAATGAAGGGTTGGACTGGTCAATATCCAAAAAGCCTTCCAGCCCTAAAAGTCGATGTTATCATTTTGCTATCCCTGTACAAATCTTCTTTTCCAGCAACACTTTTTTTTTTAAATTCACTGTCCCTAAAATAATCATTTTTTTTTTTTGCACATTTGAGAAGTCAGTGAGATAGAGTGGAGAAAACTTTGGACTAGGCGAGAGTCTGATGATCTGGGTTCAAATCCTGCCTATGCCACTTCTGTGAGCATAGGAATTAGAGCCAGCAGGGGCCTTAGAGATCCTCTGGTCCAATCTTCTCATTAAAAAAGAAATAAAGTATTGAGATGTTTTGTTTTTCTCTGACCTTAATTACCAAGTATATCCCACAAGGGGCAGGGTGGTACAGAAAGAGGACTTCATTGGGACTGAGAGGACCTGGGTTTGACCTCGGGCAGACCCCTTTCCCTATCTGGGCCTCAGTCTGCCCCTCTGTTAAAGGGGGCACTTGGACAAGGTGACTTACAAGCTTCCTTTCAGCCCCAGATCCATGTTCTATGATTGTCATCTCTATGGGCCTCAGTGTCCCCATCTGTGGAATAAGGGGGTTGTCTCTTGCCAGAGAGGTGAAGGACTTAAAATCCAGAAGGAGACACGCATTTTTGGCCATGTCCAATGTGGGATTTGTTTACTGGACCTTGTGTGTTTGTGCTGAAGGTAGTTCTGTTTCTGAAAAATCGTTCAATGAGGGGTGGAGTGGGAGAGAGAGAGAACACTATTTCTTTAGAATGAGGGAGCTGGGCTGGGGGGCCTCTCAGGTCCCTTTCATCTCTAAATCCATCATGCTATGATCCTAAATCACTTCACCTTTCCCAGCCTCAGTTTCCTCATTATATAAACTGAGGGAGGTATAGTTTATAACTTCTAAGGTCCCTTTCAGCTCTCACTTTATGATCCAGAGTCACTTTTTCCTCTATTTCTCCATCTATAAAATAAGGGCCTGACCTAGATGACCTATTAAGGACCCTTTCAGCTCATATCTGTGATCCTATGAGCCCAAGGCACTTGCCTCAGTTTCCCCATTTGTAAAAGGAAGGCTTCAGCTACCTCTCCCTTCACAGAACCACAGACCTTGGCTCCATGGTCCTTTTTATACAAACTATCTCGTGTCCTTGTCTTTCCAGGTTTATGTATGTCTCCATGCCCCCCACCCAGAGCCCAGTGCAGTATCTACCCCATGGCAGACTCAATAAATATCTGGTGGTTGATAGATGGCCCACAGGAGGGAGGGAGGCCTGAAGTGGTACCGTGGGAAAGGGGATCTTGCTAATGTCTCCAACCGGAAGATCATTAGCTAAGATAGGCAGCTCCCCTTGGAAAGTCCCCTTGGTGCCGAGAGCTGACCGCCCACACGTTGGAAAACTCTGGCTTACTTGGACTGCTAAGGAAGAGAAATCCCAAGGTCATGTACAGGGACAGAAATTACCCCTGAATCCATGGGTGCACACACAGATGGCTTTGTCACCCAAATTAATGTTTCCCACCTGGTTCTCAGGCCATCTTGGCCCCTTGAGTGGTAACAGGGAGGCCCAGGTGTGTGAAGAACTAAGGGGTGAGGGAGGCCAAAGACTATGGGGTCTACACCAGCATTCCAGCTTGAAGCCAAGACTGAACAGAGCCTCAAAGGGCCAACCAGTTTCACAGGCAGCTGGAGGGAGCACCCCCGGGCGAATAAAAGCCATTTCCTATTTATGTGCTAGGTTTTGTAGATAAAGAGAAAAAGAAATTGCTCTCAGCTCCTGGGAGTACTTATCAGGGATGGACAGGGTAGTGGTAATGCATTGAAATGTAATGAGATCAGCCTGTAGGGTCTCGAAGGAACAGAGGCTGATTGTGTTAGTTTCCAGACCTACCGCACACACCGACCCACCTGAGACAAGAGGGCAAGATGCCGCCGGCGTGTCCTAGAAGGGAAAATGAGAAAATGGCCTAGATCAGTAGATAGAGAGCTGGGTCCAAGAGTCAGATGTAGAAGGATCCCTTCCTGACCCACGTTGGCTATGTGACCTTGGGTAGATC